TAATTCTTTGTGTTTGAAATCTTACCGTCTGGGTACAGTCCATATTTTTTTTCAACTCTAGACTACCCATCTGTCTTTTTTTTACTCACAGGTTTGCCGGAATGATTAGCCTACATGACTGGAGTGACCTCTTAGTTTGGCCTGAACAAAGCCATCATTTCAGAGGCACTCAAAGGTGTCTGGAATTGTGGTCCATTTCAGTTTACATGTGCCAGCTTTACAAAAAATCGCAGACTCTATGTCAAGTTTTGTCGCAAGGAAATTATCACGGCTCTGATAGGAACGCCCTTAACAGGGAAGCTTACAGCAAAAACATCAACTAATCATTAATCAGTAAACCCAGCCTAGAGCCAGGAGAGAGGAGCAAAGAGGGGTGATCCTAGGGCCTGTTCCTGCAAAACTTTAAACCCAGCACTTGTAACTTCACCCATTGACTTCAGTAGGAGTACACCCATAAGTGAGGTTGCTTATGTGCTTAAGAGTTTGGCAGGATACTGGGCCTTTAGATTAGTTGTCTCCTTCATGACCTATGTAGGGACTTTCTGTTGTTTATCTTGGGCTCTGTGTAATCTTTATCTTTGTTTTCATTCTATAACTGTTCAACTACCCTCATTTCAGGCTGTGTTTTTTCTGCTTCACTCCACCAGAATACTGGAGATTTTGGACCTTGGATGTGCCTCTTTCTTACCTTTTGCTACTTCTTGCTCTTATTTTTAAGTCTGCATAGGTCTGTACATTGTCCATTTTTTCCTGAATGGCTCAAACCCTTTGGTAAAGATTCTTATCTCGGGGAACACTTTCAATGTCCTCCCTATCAGGTTGATGAAAATCATGGATTTGAATTTAGTGCTCAGGAAAGAGTTCCCTTAAGACTGAGCCAGACATAGCGTATGAAGCTGATGCTGGGAAAACTTCTCCCACAGGCTCCATTAACACATCTCAATCCCATCCTTCAACATCTCCTTATTCTGCCACTAAATCTGTACAGGTATTTGCCAGTGCTCCTCAGCCCTGACCTGCAGCACAGCTGTTCCATTCCTAGGCCCACACACAGCCCTCACCACTGATCTGCAGCACCAGCTTTTTTGCCTACACACAGCAGTGCCAATGTACCTTCATTCTGGCTGAAACCAGAGGCAAAGAGGATCCTGCAAAAATGAACTGATGAGAAATTGTACATGGATTTTCACAGACCAACATTTACCAATTTCTCCCAGCTCTGCTGTTGCTCTGTGAGCCGTATACTACCCTATACAGACATTGTGGCCTGTTCTGTATATTTTGTGTGGATTTCACAAAATGTGTATGAAATATCTGGACAGCTCTACAAGATTTTCACGTGGGGCGTTTTATTCAGACCAGTAGAATCAGGCACGCACTTAACTAAACTTTTTATTAATGCCAAGATCTACTTGTCCTTGAAATAGATACCTCAATAAAAATGGTGAGGAGAGAACTAGAAATATGAATTAATGAGTCCTGCAGCAGCACTGAAAGGTCCATCACCAGAACAGCACAATAGGGGAGTGACATGTCACTCTCAGCCCCCAGTGTTTGCACCTATGCCTTGAAGTGACCTCATTTTCCGTCCTGCCCTTAAGGTACCATATTGTGCAATACCAGATACCTACAAATAAAACAATTAGACCGTGATATAAATCATAACAGTCAGCTAGAATTGCCACTAGCTGTTAAGGGAAATCATTTCACTAGACTGAACTTTCTGTTCCATCAGTATCAGTAAAGTGTGACGTTTAAATTTGCCTTTAGCCTTATCAGCTGTGCCAGTGTTCTTCAGGTTGGGTCTGTTCCCAGGTGCAGAACTTAGTGACTCTTACAACCTGTCCTGGGCTGAGCACCTTCTGCAGGGTCCTTAACTCCCGTTGATGTCAATGAGAGTTGCGGCTGCTCAGGACTAGGCTCTTCATAGCTAGGGCCTGATTTCCTCACCTTTACCCCAGTGCAAGCTTGGAGGAACTCTGTAAAGTCAATGGAGGTAACACCCGTGTCTAACTGATGAAGGTGAAGGGAAGATTAGGGCCCCATAATTTATTTCATGGCACTTTGCTCTCCAAGGGAAACTGAAAAGTTCATAATTTGCCAACCCAGGCCCTACAGCTCTCAGCTGTGCTCCAGACTCCAGGCACCTCTGACCACTGGCAGGCTGAGCTTCAGGCTGTGTTTCACAGTCTAAGAAGCAGTTTGCACCTCTCTACTCAACTGGCCTGATTCTGTGAGATCGGGGCTGAGCACTGCCGGCTGACAGTGACATCGATGGCAGTTGAGGGTGGGAAGCTGAGAGAGAGATGGAGCCATAAGTCACCTTTGAATTCTTCACCAAGGTAACAAGGAGTTTTGGCTACTAAATCCATGGCCGGAATTTGCCCATGGTGTAAGTGGGTGCAACTTACATCGACTTCAGGGGGCGCTGCACCTGCTTAGGCCCAGATAAATTTAGGGCTTAAAACAAACGCTGAAATCAGTAGTGTCATGTGTAAATCGGTGTAGCTTCAATGGCACGATGCCAATTTACAACTGATGTGGAATTGATCCTAGATGTTTAATCATATCTCAGGAGGCTCCAGAGGTGAAGCTATTCCAGCAAAAGTCAGCAGAACATTTACAAGATGCTCTGTACTTTTCGTGTCCATTTGTCAATAAAAAGGGATTTACTAAAAAAAAAGATAAGCCAGAGTCACTAACATGGGGCCTTTTAATGTGTGGTAGAGAATTAAAAACTGCCATGCAGGGGGCTGGAGAACAGCTCCTACCTGTCTATTGCTGAAAGATGTTAATACAGAGATAGATGCATATCATTAAAGAGCATTGATATTAAGGGTGGTTATTATCGAATGCAAAGTTTTGTAACTTGAATAAAGACACATGTAAGGCCCCACCTACACTGTAAAAAGCCACTGGTTGGTGATTCCACTATAGTAACCGCCTAACACATTTAGCAACGTGGTTCAGGCATGCAGTGTAGAGAAAGGGGAAAAAAGTGATCCAGGAAACTACAGATCTATTAGTTTGACCTCAATTGTATACCAGGTCTTGGAACAAATTTTGAAAGAGAAAGTAGTTAAGGACATAGAGGTAAACCGTAATTGGGATAAAATGCAACATGGTTTTACAAAAGGCAGATCATGCCAGACCAATCTGATCTCCTTCTCTGAGAAGGTAACTGATTTTTTTAGACAAAGGAAATGCAGTAGATCTAATCTACCTGGATTTTAGGAAGGCATTTGATACAGTTCCACATGGGAACTTATTAGCAAAATTGGAGAAGATGGGGATTAATATGAGAACTGAAAGGTGGATAAGGGACTGATAAAAGGAGAGACTACAGTGGGTCATACTGAAATATGAACTGTCAGGCTGGAGGGTGGTTACTAGTGGAGTTCTTCAGGGATCGGTCTTAGTACCAATCTTATTTAACATTTTTATTACCGAACTTGGCACATGAAGAGAGGTATTTTCAATAGAGACAGGGAAGTGTTAGTACTGTTATATAAGGCACCTTTGAGAACTCATCTGGAATACTGTGTGCAGTTCTGGTCTCCCATGTTTAAGAAACTTGAATTCAGACGGGAACAGGTGCCAAGAAGGGCTACTAGGATGATCTGAGAAATGGAGAACCTACCTTATGAGAGGAAACTCAAAGAGCCTGGCTTGTTTAGCCTAACCAAAAGAAGGCTGAGGGGAGATACAATTGCTCTCTGTAAATACATTAGAGGGATAAATACCAGAGAGGGAGAGGAGTTATTTAAGTTAAGTGTCAATGGGGACACAAAAACAAATGGATATAAACTGGCCATCAAGAAGTTTACAGTTGAAATTAGATGAAGGTTTCTAATCATCAGAGGAGTGAAGTTCTGGAGCAGCCTCCCAAGGGGAGCAGTGGGTGGCAAAAAACCTAACTGGCTTCAAGACTGACCTGGAGAAGTTAATGGAGGGGATGGTATGATGAGGGATGGGGAGGGCTCTGAGTTACTACAGAGAATTCTTTCCCAGGTATCTGCCTGACATGCTCAGGACCTAACTGATCTCCATATTTGGGGTCGTGAAGAAATTTTCCCCCAGGTCAGATTGGCTGAAACCCTGGGGGGGGGGGTGTCACTAACCTCGGGTCACTTGCAGGTTTAAACTAATGTAAATGGTGGGTTCTCTGTAACTTAAAGTCTTTAAACCATGATTTGAGGACTTCAGTAACTCAGCCAGAGGTTAAGGGTCTATTACAGGAGCGGTGGGGGGGGGGGAGGGGGAGGTTCTGTGGTCTGCGATGTGCAGGTCAGACTAGAAGTTCATGATGGTCCCTTCTAACCTTAAAGTCTATGAGTAAGGGGACGCGACAATCGATCCCCGAATCGACGCTCTTACTCCACCAGCGGAGGTGGGAGTAAGCGCCGTCGACGGGAAGCCACAGAGGTCAATTTTGCCGCCGTCCCTACAGCGGGGTAAGTCGGCTGCGATACGTCGAATTCAGCTACGCTATTTGCGTAGCTGAATTTGCGTATCTTAAATCGACGCCCCCCCCCCGTAGTGTAGATGTAGCCTAAGATTTCCTCCTGCATGAACTGAATTCCTAAATCCCACGAACCCTTGTACTTTGCCACAGCATGATGTGCTTAGCCAAAGCATCTCCTGTTGGTTTTTTTTTATTGACTAAAGCCTTGCAGTGTAAAAGAAGGAAGGGAGTTGGGGAGATAACGAATCAGACTCTCTGGCCCTAACTAGAAAGTTCAGAGCTCAGATAGGAAAGGGTTATGAGTACATGAATTTTGTTCATCAGCTGCAACCTTTTTGTGTCTCTCGTTTTTCCCTGATTTTGCCTTGTTTCTTGCATTTCATTTGCTATACACAAGCCCTATGTTTATTAAGACAGAAATAAACAGATTAACCCAGTGGCCCAGAGATCAGTCTTTTCATACTGGGAAGATACAATGTTGATACAATGTTAATAAAAGGTCACATCCTGCAACCCTTACTCTGGCAAAGCACCCAGTGAAGTCGGGGATTTTTCTTGAGTGAACACTTAGGACTGCAGGGTTTGGCTCAGTAAAAATAAAACTCAGGATTCGAAAGTGCTTCCCAAATATTATACAGATAATTCTCACAGCCCAGTTGTGAAGTAGGTGTGAAATACCCTATTCTACAGGCAAATAAACGGAGGCACAAAGAGGCCATGGGCCTTGCTCAGGATCACAAGGTGATTCTATGGCAAAGGGAAGAATACAAAGCAGAGGTGAAATAATGGTTCCTATTGAAATGAATAGCAACATTCCCATTGGCATCCATGGAGCCAGGATTTCAGCTCAGGAGTCCCAAACTTACACTGCTACTCTGATGACTAAACCACACTTCCTCCCACCTTAAATCACGGAGGCTTGCACGAACAAGGCCGGGGAACCAGTTCTAAGTACTGTGTGTGAGAAGCAGAGGGCTAAATTAATTCCTGGTGTAACCCTCTGATGTCAGTAGAGTTACATCAGTGACTAATTTGTGTCCATCTGTGCAAAGGGGCATTGAGGACAAGACGTTCACTCAATGTGCAGCGGCAGGCTAAAAACAAACAGAAATGTTGGGAATCATTAATAAAGGGATAGATAATATGACAGAAAATATTTTATTACCTCTATATAAATCCATGGTACACCCACATCTTGAATACTGCATGCAGATGTGGTCGCCCCATCTCAAAGATATATTGGAATTGGAAAAGGTACAGAAAAGGGCAACAAAAATGATTATGGGTATGAAACAGCTTCCATATGAAGAGAGATTAATAAGATTGGGACTTTTCAGCTTGGAATTAGATGACTAATGGGGGGAATATGATAGAGTTCTATAAAATCATGACAGGTGTGGAGAAAGTAAATAAGGAAGTGTTATTTACTCCTTTTCATAACACAAGAACTAAGGGTCACCAAATGAAATCAGTAGGCAGCAGGTTTAAAACAAAAAAAAAGAAAGAACATAGTCAACCTGTGGAACTCCTTGCCAGAGGATGTTGTGAAGGCCAAGGCACTAACAGGGTTCAAAAAAGAACTAGATAAGTTCATGGAGGATAGGTCCATCAATAGCTATTAGGCAGGGATGGTGTCCCTAGCCTCTGTTTGCCA